ATCATGTCAAATATTGAAACATTTTTCCATTGCGATCTTTCTCAGCCGTTCCATTTCATCATATCTGCTCAAGGATTCTATTTTCCCAAAGAGACCTATCCTTTGAAAAGTGTTCTCGCACATAAAGTTGCCATTGGGCGCTTTCCTTTTACCAAGAAATTCTCGATATTCCGGTTGGGATGTAAATGGAGAACACCATCTTCCTGTGGCATGTGTTGCAGCCGGCCTACGCGTCGGTCTAGACTATTGGAGGTGGTTTAGGGTGTATGCGACGCAGGCTAGTATACGGGCATTTCAATGAAAAATTCCCTGGAATAAGTGGAACTATTAATAGGTTTCTCCGTTGGAAACGTTCTGATGGAGATGAGTGTTTCATTTACGAGTGTTCGCAAAGGTTTACGAGTTCCAGGCTGTTCACGGCGATTTCATGTGACGCCATCTTGAATTATCGCAAGAGAAGGGAACGAACGTTGTTATTGCAGAAAACGCCCTCATGTATCAAAATATTTCACGGTATAATATTTTAAACAAAAGGGACACATGGCAAAATCAGATGTGAATCACTTTTTTTGATGTCAAACCTTACATCGATACTGAGTGCCCTTGAATCATTTCGATTCTTCCCGTAAGAAAAGTCTTATTTTCATTATTATTTTTTTCAAACAACTTCCCTTCAAGTAGCTTAGTTCAGACTGAGCCAAAAAGAGTATTAGAGTAATTTAAACAGCCCAGTTTGGCTTGTGTTGCCCAAGATGTTTGTATACTGATTTCTCACTCGACAACTCTAACTAGAGAGATATTAGCGTCGATATTGCTTCTGATATTTTGGTTTTGTGAGCCCTATGGGTGTTGAGATGTTATAACTGTATTTCCCGGCCCGTTCTCGTGGCATTACTGGTGCCAGCAGTGTGTCTCCAATAGCCGGGCTCCCTTTAACACACCTGCTAAAAGACTGAAGGCAGGAAAAGTATTTTAATTGCCTTTTTTTTTTCTGCATCTGTAAAGTACTCTAAAATGCTAAAAATAAATGGGATCGTGAAAACTCCTTGACATTGGCTTATATATAGTAAGGGAGTTCAACAGCTGCTCTGTTTTGGGACTCCTGATAGGTTCTGTAAGTATCGAGGGATCCAAATACAAGTAACTTTAGCATTGTAAATGATTGGATTATACAAATAATACAAAAAGACGAGACCCGATGTCAATTTTTGCCCAATTTGTTTTCTGTGAGAACATCATGCAAAGAGCCATCGTTTCGGCGCGGATTTCGTACTTTCTGTACTTTCCCTTGAAACCATACGGCCTGGGTCTATTGTAGTGATCAGAAACCGACCCGAACAATAATGTTAGTGAATATTAATGCATAAATCATAATCCACATTATCCAACCTTTTTAGATCTTCAGGAATCATTTTTCTTTATCCTTACTGACAAGAAAGTAAAGGTAGTAACTCTTCCTACATTTTAATTCTAATTTTGCAAATACTTAGTAGGTTATAATGAGAAGGACTCTCACACTGGTGTTGCTATAAAAATTAGCGTCCCTGATCTGCATCGGCAAAATTAAAAGAGAAAATATTGCGGCTGATATTATATCAGACTAATTTTGCAATATGTCACTTGTTTGGATTTTACTTTACGAATAAGATATCTAATCTAAATTGAACTCATAACTCCATAACTCCAACTATTTCACATTTCAATTTATTGGTAACAGCTAGGAATCGACAAAATTTGACTGGGGAGTTTAAAGCGCTTGTCCACCCGGCATAAGTTACTGCCGGTGAGAAACAATTTATTTTAGTTTTACTATTTGTATCACGTTCAATAGCTGGTTGAGCAAATTAACTTCATTATGACTGGGAATATATAAATCATATATTGAACTGCGGATGAAGAGATGAAAGTGGACGTGATCCTCGCAATTGTAGCAACCTAAGCGGTCGAAAAAAAATCTGAAACAATACAGGCTTGACCGGGAATCAAACCCTGACCTTTGTTTAGAGCTGTTACGTTCGGTCGACGCAAAGGTCAGGTTTCTATTTTCTGTCAAGCATGTATTTTTTAGGTTCTTCTCAACAGCTTATGTTGCTCATCATATTCACTTACACCTAATTACTGATTTCACTGGACCACATGATCTTATAAACATTGACACATACAGAGATAACTTAATAGGGAAGAAAAACTTTCCGAAGGAAAAATCCCGGCCTTTTAATTTAATTTCAATTTCTATTCATTTTAATATGGGTTCAAAACCCTGTCATCACAACCACAGTAACAAAATGAAAAGCCAACAAAAAAAAAAAGAAATGGATCGAAATCCACGAATAGCAATACAAAGACTTTACCTTTTGAACCCTTGAAGTCATTTTCTTCCTTTTTCTGAGAGGTCCACGAAAGAATTTGATCCGATTTGATGAAAGCGTGAAATGCAGTCATTTCGGGTCAGAATTTATGAGTTCATGTTCAAGGTGCTCAGTTCAGTAAAAATTTGAGTGGTAAATGAATTAAATAGCCCAAAGATCAATAAACGACTTCTTTAGCCGGGGTGTGATTAACAAGGTTAATGAAAGGGAACCAACCAACAGAGGATAAGTCCCTTTTTAACAATTACATCAAATTATATTTAAAAAGGTTTTTTAGCGTTCTAGAATTCTCGGTTTAAGAGAAGAGGACGTGATTTTTCGTTGTTAGTTTTGCTTTAAGAAAGTCATGAAATAAAGAAAGAGAAAAAGAAAACACAACTCTGGTCGACCGGACACTTGATCACAGAAGCCCTCAGTTCTTTCCAGGGATCAATGTCGCTCTTGCCACTTTGCTAACCTATCCTGTGTCAACCTGCGCTGCCGAACGCAGTTTTGAAGAGACTGGAAAAACCTCTTCGACGCACTATGAGTGAGGAGCAGCTATCCTCTTTGGCAATACTCCATATACACAAGCACAAGAACGTGGATATTGACAAAACAGTTTCCCAACTTTCCCGTCTTAAAGGGAGACGTCTGGCCCTTTTCCTGTAGCCGGTTTACAGTTTATACCAGTAGTACCAAAGGTTGACAAATAAACAACAAAGTTACTAAATAGTTAGTGTTTTTTTCTTCTTTTTGTTTTTTGTTTTTTTTGTTTTTTTTGCTTTTTTTTTCATACTATGATTTATGAAACTTCCCATTGGAAATCATTGGAAATGGCATTTCCAAGGTCCATGAAAATAAAAATCCTCTGGGGGAGTATTTCCCCTGATCTTCCTAGAGTCTTGCGCCTTCCTCGCTTGTTTCACTACGCCTTCCTGTGCGTATACGCCCCTGCGTTCTAACTAACTTCCTCTACAAGTACCGCCTAAGGGGGGAAAAATCACAAATTATTTGTTGCAAATCACGATCAGTGGTTTCACAGTAGCTGTAGAAAAGGAAAATGTCTTTCAACGCTTGGCATCCGGAAACGTCACCAGATCCTCTATAATCAAACCTCCGAAAAAGCATTTTGATTTATTTTGCATCTTAAAGTTACATATGACTTATTTATTATTACAGCGAATTGTCTTTATTAGTTTGCGTTATTAGCGGGTAGTTATTGACGTTACTGATTAACGGAGAAAATTAGGGAAATAAATTGTTGTTGCCTGACATTAATTTAGCAACCAGCTTGTAATTGAACTGTAGTATTTCGATAAGAAAGAGTAGATTGGTCCTCTTTACTTACAATTAACACTAAAAATTGCTTGAAAATGTGAGTGTGGTCACAAGCACAAACAACAACAGTAACAATCAAACGAATACAGGTCTGTCAACTGGATCCAATAAGACTAAGCCAAATCCTATGCACATTGTTTTGTGCAAAGGCAACCTTTTCATGGCAAAGCTAGGCATTTCAACTTCTCAACAACAACTGTAATAACGGTAACAATAAATACTACTACTACTACTACTACTACTAATACTACTACTACTACTACTAAATAAATACTATTAATAAAGATAATAATAACAATAATAATGATAATAATTAAGAAGAAGAAGAGGAAGAATAATGATAATGAAGAAGAGTAATAAAAGCAACAACAATAAGGTTTTTTTTTAGCAGACTTCAACTGATTAATGACATTACTTTGGCCCCCAGGTAGCGTAGGGGCTAGTCCAGGCGAGTACAATACAAGAAATTACGTCCGTATGTACTGAAATAAACTGAAAATATAGAGGCATTCTAGATTGCATTGCTAGTTTTAACTTCTTTAAATGGAGGTACTTAAAAGGAGAAACGAAAATACACACCTAAATAATAAAGGCAACAATTAAATCAGAAAAAATATCGCAAACCCTCGCCTACTGACTGGAGAAAAGCCTCAATGCCGCGGGTAAAGTGGTTCAAAACCTCACGCAAACCTTGATATCGTATCTCTCAACTTTAAAAGAAATAAGAGTGATAATTTAAAACAATTTCTTAGGGTAAAGTTTGCCCCTTTTTTTGCTTTTTAGGTTGCCTAGGTATAGGAATATAGAGATAAAAACCATGAATAATACTCAGTCTTGCTTTGTTAAAATTTGAACAGAGCCTTTAAATTAATATTTGTTCATACATTTTTTTTAACCAGAGTGATTGCAAGTCATTACAAGTTTTAAGACGACATTTACTGTTGGAAACATTTTTGGTCAAGGAGATATTTACTTATTGGCTTACTGTGGCTGATATTTAGCTTTACTTATAAATCCTCAGAATATTATTTTCGGAGGAGCTTAGAATCAAACGCAGTGTTAAATTTAGAAGGAATTTTGATTTTTTTTTTGTTGTCGTTGTTGCTTTTTTTGTTCTTTTGTGAATATAATTAATCTTTTCATTCAACATATCACGATATTTACGATCAACGCAAAGCGTATAAAAGCGCGACATACGTGTTTCCAAGAACCAGTAGTCACGAAGATTTGGAGATGAAGACTCTAATTCTGTTGGCACTGCTGGCCGTCAGCTTGGCTAGTCCATTCAACGGAGATGCAGTTAAAGCAGATGACAATGAAACAAATGATCTTGTGAATGATCTCCGAGAAAGGTAAGGCAGAAACGTAGGTTGTTCATGCAATGTTGAATAAGTTAAATCATGGTATTATAGATTAGATGATTACACTGAGTCAATTGACTGTAATTATGTTAAATGTGCTTCAAAATGTTTTCCCGCTGCTGCTGTTGCTGCTCTTTCATCAAATAAACGTCGTCGCTTTTCAACGCAGAGCACATCGTTTATTATAATGAAAAGGGTCTTGAGATTTTTTTTCGTACTTTATTGGCACGTAAGGTACACCTGCTGGCTTTAGAGTGAACTCAGCAGTGAAGACCCAGCAGTGTTTGGAAGTATCGTCCAATGTACAACTGGCGCGTACTTTAACTTAATTGCCTGTAAATTACTGAAGTCAGCTTTCATAATAACTTTAATAAGTTGCACCATTGTGTTTATTTTCTCCAGCAATGGCGAGTTTTTTTAGAAGATTTCATACGGCTGATTTCGTACAACGGACCGTGTGTTCGCCTCGGTTGTAGTTTCTTCCTGGCTACGGCCCTGCATGCTCGGTTTAATCTATAAATTGGGTTATATCTCATTTTAGTGATAAAAATTTGCAAGATGAAGATAAACAGGATGAAAACCCAAACAAAGATATAAACAACAAGAATGAGAACGATGAAGATGAAGATGAGGAAGGAGCCTATGATATGGAGCCAGAAGACGACGACGATGAGGAATTTGAGAACGAAGATGGGAAAGAAAACGCTTTGGCTAATCCAGAATACGAGTCTTCAGATCCTGCTTTGCCTATTGTGCCTTTTCTAGCAAAGCGTCTCATCCGTGCTCGCCGTATAATACGTGGAATTCGACGTTTACGCCGACGAAGACGAAGCCGCCGCCGGTCTTCGCGTGGTCGAAAACGACGCTCCCGTGGGTAAGGCAGAAATGAAGCTCGTGTAATGTTGAATAGGTTAAAAAGATAGAATATATGTAAGAGATTAAGAGGGTATCTCTCCAGTCTTTGTTATTATTATTTTTTTTAACCCAGAGAACTTTGTTGATTCTGAGAAGGTGTTTGAGACTTTGTTTCGTGGTTTTTCGACTCATAAATTACACACTTGTTGGCTATAGAGTGCACTTAAAACCGGTTGCTGTTCATCTTTGGATTTATCGTTCACTATAGATCTTGCACGTACTGTTAATTGCCGGTAAATTACTGTAGTCAGTTTTGATAATAGCTTCAATAAGGTGCCACCAGTGTGATTATTTTCAGCAAGACGACTTATTTTGCGTAGATGCAGGGTTTAATCTGTAAATGCGGTTAAATCTCACTTTAGTGATGAAACATTGCAAGATGAAGATATGGGGCCAGAAGACAACGATGATGAGGAATTGGAAAACGAAGATGGGAAAGAAAACGCTTTGACCAATCCAGAAAACGAGTCTTCAGATCCTGCTTTGCCTATTGTGCCTTTTCTAGCAAAGCGTCTCATCCGTGCTCGCCGTATAATACGTGGAATTCGACGTTTACGCCGACGAAGACGAAGCCGCCGCCGGTCTTCGCGTGGTCGAAAACGACGCTCCCGTGGGTAAGGCAGAAATGAAGCTCGTGTAATGTTGAATAGGTTAAAAAGATAGAATATATGTAAGAGATTAAGAGGGTATCTCTCCAGTCTTTCTCAGTGGTACGAGTATCTTAAATCTGCTTTTAAATTTTTACAGCCTGCTGCGGATGTTGTTGTTTTTGTTAAAAAAACGTCGTTGTTGTTATTTTTTTTTTTAACCCAGAGAACTTTGTTGATTCTGAGAAGGTGTTTGAGACTTTGTTTCGTGGTTTATCGACTCATAAATTACACACTTGTTGGCTATAGAGTGCACTTAAAACCGGTTGCTGTTCATCTTTGGATTTATCGTTCACTATAGATCTTTCACGTACTGTTAATTGCCGATAAATTACTGTAGTCAGTTTTGATAATAACTTCAATAAGGTGTCACCAGTGTGATTATTTTCAGCAAGACGACTTATTTTGCGTAGATGCAGGGTTTAATCTGTAAATGCGGTTAAATCTCACTTTAGTGATGAAACATTGCAAGATGAAGATACACAGGATGAAAATCCAAACAAAGATATAAGCAACGAAAGTGAGAACGATGAAGAAGACGATGAAGAAGGCGCCTATGATATGGGGTCAGAAGACAACGATGATGAGGAATTGGAAAACGAAGATGGGAAAGAAAACGCTTTGACCAATCCAGAAAACGAGTCTTCAGATCCTATTTTCCGCAGAATCGTACGTATTGGTCGCCGAGTAGTTCGACGTTTCCGCCGACGTAGAAGCCGTCGCGGGTCCTCGCGTCGTCGAAGAAGACGCTATCGTGGGTAAGCCAGAAACGTGGCTCGTGTAACGTTGAATAGGTTAAAAAAATAGATTTTATGTATGAGATTAAGAGGGTAACTCTTCAGTCTTTCTAAGTGGTACGAGTATGTTAAATCTGCTTTTAGATTTTTACAGTCTGCTGCTGATGTTGCTGTTTTTCTTAAAGAAACGTCGTTGTTATTATTTTTTTAACCCAGAGGACTTTGTTGATTATATGAGAAAGTGTTTGGGACTTTGTTTCGTGGTTTATCGACACATAAATTACACACTTGTTGGCTATAGAGTGCAGTTAAAACCAGCTGCTCTACATCTTTGGATTTATCGTTCACTATAGAGCTTGCGCGTACTGTTAATTGCCGGTAAATTACTGTACTCAGTTTTGATAATAACTTCAATAAAGTGCCACCAGTGTGATTATTTTTAGCAAGACGACTTATTTTGCGTAGATGCAGGGTTTAATCTGTAAATGCGGTTAAATCTCACTTTAGTGATGAAACATTGCAAGATGAAGATATGGGGCCAGAAGACAACGATGGTGAGGAATTGGAGAACGAAGATGGAATAGAAAACGCTTTGACCAATCCAGAAAACGAGTCTTCAGATCCTATTTTCCGCAAAATCATACGACGTGTTGGTCGCAGATTAATTCGACGTTTCCGCCGACGTAATAGCCGTCGACGAAGACGCCGCTTTGGTTGATGACTGAAACGATCAAAACGGTAAACAAACTATCTACCTACCTATCCTTCTATCTATCTATCTATCTATCTATCTATCTATCTATCTATCTATCTATCTATCTATCTATCTATCTATCTATCTATCTATCTATCTATCTATCTATCTATCTATCTATCTATCTATCATCTATCTATCTATCTATCTATCTATCTATCTATCTATCTATCTATCTATCTATCTATCTATAAATGTTTGCCTTCTGTCTATCCATGTATCTGTCTGTCTAACATTTCCTAAACAGACTACTAACTCTTCAATAAGCAAGCTAAAAGGTAGAGCTAATTCCTTCACAAAACCCGAAAAGACCAGTTTCCATCTGTTGATCCAATAAGCCTAGCGTCGTCTAAGCCTTGTGGAATTTTTGCGATACTTTTCAGTTTTGGTTTATTTTCACTTTATTAGTTGTTTAATTTTTCCTTATTTTAAACTTGTCTTTAATATTTAGTTTTATTTTATTTTCATTTAACTATATTTTTATTTTTTATCCTTATTTTCAAGAATTCTTTCATTTTGTTTTGATTTCAATTCGCTTGCCAGTTTATTTTGTAGTAGTAATTATTTTAAAACTTAAAAACAAACAAACAATCAAAAGAGCGAACAACTAAGATCGCACGAGCCCAATGCAGGGGTGGATTTCAAACTATCTTAAATAGGAAGAGACCTTCCAATTGAATTGGCAATAATGAAATTAAGCGTATCCAGCTAACAACTGGCACTTGTCCGAAATTAATAAATTTAGAACAATGGATATTACTGCTTTCCTTTCATTTTTTTCTTTTGTTTCCTCTTTGCTTGTTTGTTTGTTTGTTGTTGTTGTTGTTGTTGTTTCCTTGTGGAGGGGGGGGGAAAGTTCCAAAAATTTTAACAACTACAACTAAGAATAAGTTTTATTCCTTTTATTCTCAATGTACTTTTAAGAAAAATCGAGACAATCGTGACATATATTTTCCTGCAACAATATATCACTGGTAGATCACACTGTTGCTCCATCGATATCAACCGCCCAATATTTCTTTTATCGGTGTTAACTTAAATCACTTGATAAAAGAATTATATATACACAATTATTTCGCCAAAGGGTCGCTCAATGCTGGAAACTGTCTGTAAGTTCTTTTTCTTGTATCTTATTTTTCTTATTTTTGCATCCCCTCTAGATTTGCCCAGATGTCCCTTTAAACTGAGATAAACTTGACATGAAAAATGAGTGAAGTGCAAAGCGAACAATAACACGATGCAATTAAGCTTGTTATCTTAAATTAAAAGCAGAAATGAACCAACAGAAGGCGGAGTAATTGATCTGTAATCAAGAAGGACCAACATACTGCAAAGTGCAAAATACCAACAAGAGCTCTTCCAAATTTATATTTGAATCCATGGAAACCCTCGGGTAATGATTCACATAAGCGTTAGTAGGTATGCCAATATCCACAAAACCTTGCCTTACTGGGTGAATTTTTTGTCTGTTTGTTTTTTTTAGTCCTTTTTCAAAGGCTAAACACTCCACCGTCCACATCACTTTTGCGAAAAACATCTTGCGCCTACTTAAATTTCCCCCCGCGCGAAAAAGTTGAATAACTTGAAAACCGTTCAAGTTATATTATATGGAGTTATATAGAGTGGGGTGAATAGGCGAACGGTTTGGTGGAGTTTGAAAATATTTTTGCCCAGATTTCGGATTTTAAGCAAGATTTTAACGGATTTTCGGATCCTGCAATTGCAGCGGATTGAGGATTCATGTATTTTAAGTTGGGCGTGGATTTTCGTCTATGCGTGTAATTAAAATATTTTTGCCCGGGTTTCGGATTCAAGGCGAAAATGGAGGGGCGGATTTGTATATGTAATAGGACTACATGCTGTCCAATTTGGAAATAATTGGATGAAAAAATTCCGAGGACAGCCAAAATTAGACGAGGCCGTAGGCCGAGTCCAATTTCGCTGTCAGAGGAATTTTTTGAGAAAAATTATTTCCAACTTGGACAGTTTTTGCGAAAAATTGTACACTTGAACCCGTCCGTTTGTAGTTGAAAAAAAAACACACACACACACACACACACACACACACACACACATACGCAAGATCTAAAAAAGATTTCTTTTCCTAGTGTCATTCAAATTATTCTTTGCAAGTAAACAAACGTACAACTAGTATTGCTGTTTCATACTTTGGCATTTTGTTGCCAATTCAAATTTTGAAAGCTCCTTCAATGGTCTGAACACATACTGTGCTACAGATGAAAACCGCAGTTTCGAGTATAAAGAAGACAAAGCCACAACGCAAATACTTAATTTAAATACAAAAACTAGTAAAAATAAACAATTCATTCATTGCCTCAAACGATTTCCGCAGAATTGGTCCATTTGTTTTTGTACTGCCAACATCGAAACACAAGTATCTGTGTTTTCTTATTCTGGTTCAAAGTTTCACTGCTTGTGCATTTTCAAGAAATCTATGCGTTGATTGTTTCCAATACAAACTTTCATCAGTTTGGTCATACATTTTCCTTTGCTTTTAAATGGCCCAGAAAAGAAGCCAAAAGAAAACAGCACTACTGAGCAAGAAAACAAAACGACATTCACAGCAACAAAAAGCCAAGAGTGTTCGAGGACGAACCGGTGTCAGCCAACGAAACTTTTCTTGGCGCGTTGTCATAGGGACCTTGCGCTGATTGGCTAGTTTGCATTGCCTATTGTATTTTCTGACATTTGATTGGCTCAGACCAGCTGCCCTATTTTTCTTAAATTGGACAGTTTGCGTATTGGTAAAAAGGAGCCCTATCTGAAACTATCCAAATTAATCCTTAATTGGACAGTTCGTTAAAATTAATAATAGGGACTTTAAGATCCACCGACGCGCCGGCAACGAGAACGTCGCTTAAAAAGTTGCGTGCTTCCAGTCTTTATCGCAATTATTCCTAACCACTTACTATGTCAAATGTAGGAGAACCCTCCTGAAATGGAATTCCTAGGGACCATATCCAAGTTCGCAAAGAGAAATAAAATTTCGCTGTTGCTTGTTTACGTACTCTATAAAACGCGAAATTAGGCATTTTCACGTCGTATTTGTGCAAAAACGGGCAAAGAAATGTAGAAAAAAGCGTGATGCACATGCAAAGATGTTGTTTTGCTTCAAAAACCTATTGTTTTTTTGACGTTCTCTTTGCCGTCCGCGTCGTTGGATCTTAAAGTTCCTAATAATAGCTTTGCTGACAATATCGGATTAACTAACAGCTATATAATTAGGTTAATAAATCATAACGGTTCGGCGGATCTACATACCTCTATTCACCCCTGTCTATATATGACCACCAAATTTAGCGACTTTTCCTAAAAATTATCTGCAAACATTTTAATTTAAAGTGGTCGTGACATGGACGTCAGCATTGACGTTACCATAGGAATCAAGTTTTGTCAGCCATGTTTTTCACAATTTGCACTTTTTTTTCTAAAAGATAGGTTTTAATTATGTTCTTACCAATGGAATTATGATATTACATTTACATTAGCATTATCTTGTCAAAGTTATTGTCGCTGTTGATGAAATCCAGGCTTTGTAGTGACTAAAATAAAACACAAACAGCGGTGATAAACATTGTGAGGTTTCGCATTTTTGTAAACATGACTAGCACTATTCAACATACATTTTCAAAAGTGATCTTAAGTGACCATTAAAGCAAGTGACGAGAATATATATTAAAAAATTACAGATGCTAAGATCACTCTTCAGTTATTGTTGACCATGAAGTTCCTACCACCGGACATAACATTAAATGGGATCGCTTTTGAAATCTTAGCATCTGACAAAACAGATTATCATTGTAACAAATAAAAGAAATATTTTTGTCTATTTTGTCATGATTTATTTTGTTTATACAAGGCCTTAAGCCAGCTTTTAATGTCAACATCAGCAGTGAAAAGCTGTTGCTTTATTGGCTGTTGCCTAAATTTTGTATTCATTACTGTTAAGAATTTTTAAATTCTTATTCTCATTTCCAGACCTGTTGTAAAAAATATGTAGTTTCGTCATTTGCTTTAACGGACACTTATGATAACTTTTGAAAATGTATGTTGAATAGCATACGAACGTCAAGTTTAAAGAATTGCAAAAACTCAAAATGTTTATCACCGCTGTTTGTGTTTTATCTTTGATCAAACCACGTTGGCCTAAGAACAAAAGTCTCTTTGTAGCGACTAGTTTGAGAAAAAAAAAACATGACCAAATGGAACATGCTGAGTTTAATTTCCAACAGTGTTCATTTCTCCCGGAATTGCATATTTTGTAGATTTTTTTGCTTCCTATGCATCCTTTAATACTCAGATCAAGTTTCATATTAAAAATTCCTCGATGTATGTGGGTTTTAAGTAATTCAAAGTTACGGCTCTAAGATGGCGGATGCTTTCAGTCCCTTTTCAGTAATAGATGATGCCATCATGACATCACTGCTATTGTTAAAGGTTATTTATACGTTAGCGAACTTGTTGATTTTGTCAAATACCTTAGTATTTAAGTATTTTTCGCTTAAATGTACGTTGAGGAAATTTGGAATCTGCCAATAAATTCAACAATATGACGTCAGATTACGTCATTGCGTCAATAATCAATATGCCTAGATGTTGAAACTGATGAGTACTTGTAATTTTGCTTGCCGTAGCATGAGCAGTTTTGAAATAGGCTAGTTTCGTATTCCCGGGCGGCCTAGGACGAGCGCTTGTTTTTGCGCAAAAGCGAGGCTAATGCGGGTCACTTCTCACCAAGAAGACAAACAAACATAAGAAAACTGCGGCTGAGTTGGATTAAGAAAAAACAATTTAAACGTTGA